TCCTTCCTTCCTCTTTGCCGCCCCTACGGGAGGCTCCTCCCTCTGCTGCCTCTCCCTCAGCTCCTTTGGGGGTCTGAAGACAGAACTGGTTCAGGAGGATGGTGGTCAGATCCGGGGAGGGGAAGGACCCCCCTCCTGCTCAGAGGCCTCCTTGCTCTGCTTCCCCTCAAGCCCCCTTTGGAGGAGCACAATGCCAGCAGGCAGGGTCTTCCCTGAATGTTTGTGGGGAGCCATTGGGGGCACCTGAGACCCCCCTACACTGACCCGGCCATTTCAACCATTTCTCTCCCTCACAACTGGAGGAAGATCCTGCCCCATTTTGGCACCCCAGAACCCCCTCCCTCCCTCCCTCTTTTGGGCTCAGATTCAAAGGGTATAGACTAGACCTAAATGGTGTAGGCCCAAGAAGGGGGTTGGACTAGATGATCTCCAATAAATCCACCTGAAGCCTTTCCTGGTTTAGAAGACATTGGCCACAGAGGGGAAGAGCAGCTCTGCGGGAAAGAGGGAGGGGGTTCAATGGGGCAGCCCTGAGTGGAAGACCCCTCCCTTCTCCCCAACATCTCTAGATGCCCTTAGGTAGCCCTCCAATTGAGCCTCGCCCCCTCCAGAGGTCATCCAGACTGGCTCTGCAGGACTCCAGCTAGATCTCTAAGGGCAGAATTTCCCCCTCCCAGTTCCTTATCTGGGGTCTTGAGGCCACCACAGGAAGAATCTTTGTGTCGTTGGAGAATGTCTCTCAAACACGGGGAAGATTTGGGCTCCTGTCGGCAAAAATCTCCCCTTGGAAGACAGCGTGCAAGAACTTGGAGAATTGACAACACCAAATGTATCAATGACAGGAAAAAAATTCAGGTTTCCTTAACAAAGAAAAGGCATTGTTGCTGATAGATGCTTCATTGCTCAGGGGAACTGAACCAGCGAATTTTTAGAGAATCAAGCAAGGGTGGTTGGCTGATTCCCAGGAGCAGCTATCAAAGAGGCGACTGAGGGGCTTCCAGAAATAATGACGTCCACAGATTCTTCTTATCCCTTTTCCCTCTTTCATGTGGGGAGGAATGAAAAAGTCCCTGGAACCTTCCGGTGGGCCAGAGGACCTTGTGGCTGCCCCACCTGGAGACTCAGCCATGGGGTGGAGGAAGACAATCCCTGAGCTGCCCTGGTGAGGAATCCAGGCTTGTTGCCTGCTGGGTCCTTTTCTGAAGCCGCTCTGAGCAGAGCTGCCTTCCGCAATTGACCCAGGGGGATTTTGTCAATGCCTAACTAACCCTAACCCCATAGAACAGGAAAGGGGAGTCTGGGGGGCTGGATAGCAAGTGGGTCATCTAGACGAGAGCAGTTGTCGCCAACCTGTGGGCTGGGGATCACTGGTGGTCCGGGAGAGAATTCTGGTGGTCCGCAGGGAAATGTCAGCTCCAAAGCAATTGATCCAGGCTGCGCGGGAACACAAGGCTTGCCTCACTTGCATTGCGAAGAAGACGAAACTGGGCTGCTGCTTTCTGCTTTTTTCTTCTTCTGCTTTTGGCTGCACGCAAGGAAAGCAGCACAAGTCTTCCTTCCTTACTCCCCCATTTCTCTGCCAGAAATGAGGAAAGGAGCGGAAAACGGAGGAGAAACGGCCAAACTTTGTTCCGCGATCTCCATTCCGGGCCGCTTTCCCAGAAAGAGGGGGAACCTTCCTGACTGAAAGAAAGAAAGAAAGAAAGAAAGAAAGAGGAGAAAGAAAGAGAAAGGAGAAAGAAAGAGAGAAAGAAAGAAAGACAAAGAAGAAAAAAGAAAGAGAAAGAAAGAGAAAGAAAGAAAAAGAAAGAAAGAAAGAAAAGAAAGAAAGAAAGAGTCGGAGGATCTTAAGGAGGGTCCCAGTGTGCCCTTCCCGCAGCAGGGATCCAGATTGAAACTCTCTCCCACAAAGAGCTGCCTGGTCATTGATATCCCCCCCAATTGAGTGAAGCCCATGGCTTTTGGGGGGACCCTGGGGCTGCTCTCCCGATGGGACATTTCCCCCAAGGGGGGGTGGGAATTTCTTGCCCTCCCCTCAGCCTAGAAAAACACAATCTCCCGAGGGGAATCAGAGGAAACAATTTTCTCTGACACCCCCCCCCCCACAAACAAGGGCCATTTGGCGGTTGTGCAGGAATCGGAGGCTGCTCCAGTTCACCTCTGCAAGAGGGGCGGCAGGGTGATTTTCCTCCTTTTGTTACATCATAGTTTGTATTCCCTCCATTCAGAGCGAGGCTATGAGAGGTTTTCCTCCCAGGGAGTTCAGTAAAGTGGAAGGAAGGAAGGAAGGAAGGAAGGAAGGAAGGAAGGAAGGAAGGA